AATCTACTACTACTCAATACTTCAACACTTAATAAACTTATGTTACAAACTTGCAGTAGTAATATAAAAAAATGCTTTAACACTAATAAACTCTTAAATCAAATCTTTATACATTGTACTAAAGAATGACTTTCTAAAATATAGAAATCTTTTCTAATTCAAAATACAATTCTAGAAAACTACAGAAAAACTACTAATTTTATTATAATATCTCAACTCTACTATTTATACAAAAATAATATCTTTATTAACAACTCTCACTTAAACTAATTAACATTCCACAAACAAACTAATCAACTAAATAATATTTACAACTTTATCTCTTCAAATAACTCAATAATTCTAAGTCTCAAAAACAACAAAATTCTCTTTCTTGAACAACTACTTATAGCAGATAATCTCAACTTACTTCTTTAGAAAAACACATATCTTAGAATCCTTAAATCTTCACAAGGCTTTACACCAAGCTGGTTCAAAATACTTTCAAACCAAATTTCTACCCTTCTTATCTTACACACATGGCCTAATCTTCAACTTCAACCTATTAACCCCTTTTTAAATATACATAATCTTATTATATCTCAATTTAATAGCTCTAAAAACATATAAATACTTTATATCTTATCTTCAAATTGGCTCATTGGAAAAATTACAAATATATCTAACTCCCAAATACTTTTTCAGAAATACCAAATTTTTAATTTTAAAACTAACACAATTTACATCTCTTCTATATCTACAACATTTCAAATAAATTACAAACAAACTATCAATCTAAAATGCAAAACTCAAAAAAGATTACAACATTTTGAACGTAATATAAATATTCAAAAAATTCAAGCATTTTAAAACATTCATGCAGAGTTGTATAAACCTGCTTTACAGTCTTTGCCATCTCTGTTATTACCCTCTTCAGAAATTATCTTAATACAAAACACAATATCAAATCCTATATACCAAAATCAACTTATAAACCTTCACCAAAAAATACTACTTCTCAATTCAACTAATTTACACTTTTATACTGATGCCTCTATACTTAATTCACAAACACATAATATATCTACTGATATTGTCTGGATTCTCGAAAATGATACATAAATTAAATTTAATGCCTTTATATCTTATGCACCAAATTCCACATGAGTAGAACTCACAACACTTATTTTCTTGTTTCTTATCCTATTTACTAATTATCAAATCCACATTCATTTTAATAGTCTATCTACTATCCAAACTCTTACAAACTCAATATCTTATAACTACAACTTTCAAAGCAAACAAAATAATTGGGATATCATTCATATTCTAAATTACTTAACCAAACTCAAAAATATTAATTATATTACTTATAAAATTAAATCACATTCTAACAACACTTTATATAATATAATTGATGTTTTAGCTAAACAAAGTGTTAGTAAAACCAAACTAAAATTTAATCTTGACTCCTTCTACCTACCTACTTTCTTTACCTAAAAAGAAATACCAATCATATACAAACTATATAAATTTTGCAGAAACCTACTCCCTATCCAAACTTTTAACAAATTTCTCTAACTCAAATCATACAAAATCTTCCTACTTTAAACATTCAACTACTTACTGAAATTATTAATTCTCAGAACTTTAACCCTAAACTATATTCTATTAAAAACAAAATAATTCTTAATAACCTATTCACAATGCCAAATTTGAATATTTGTTATTCTCTCCTTTTCTTAATCCTAAATTGCTTATTTTGCAATCAATATGAAAATATTATATATCTACTATAATGTTCACTTCACACTTACAATCCATATAACACTCTTATCAATGAAATTTCAAATACATTAAGCTCATTAAATCTCTTAAAAACCTCATTATATACAATAATACAAATTTAAATTTACAAAACTCTCTCTCAAATTCTACTATATATAATACCATCTCTTACTCATCTACAGAACAATAACTCTTGACCAATACAAACAACTTCAATTTACTTTAAAAAAACTAACAAATAATTTCCTTATCCTTCTATCCAACTCTCTAGTTAACTGATTCAACTCTACCATTTGGTAAACCCAGAATACTAAACAACATGAATGAGAATTAGTACAAGGAATTACTGGCTCAACTAAAAAGAAAAATAATATTTGACTACCTATTCTACAACCTTCCAATTCTACTAACAATAGTTTTATATTTAATACTAATATAGATTTCTTTATTTCTAAAACTCTTTCTCAAAACTTTTTTATATATAATTGCTTTTATTAACTTTAACAACCTCAAGGGTTCCTTTTACCTCTTTCTGTAGTTAATGATTACAATAGTTGATTTAATTAATAACAGATAACTAAAGGATAATATTATACTAGATATTATTAGTATATAGCAACAATAGTATAGCTTAGGAATAATTCTTATTTATATATTTATATCCAATTGATATACTCATGTATTAATATTTTTCCTACTTGATATTATATAATAAAAAAAAAAAATTATAATCATTTTTATTGTTATAAACTTTTATAACTTTTTATATTAATGTAATTACTTAATTAAGGGTATGCAATATTAGTTATTATGATCTATATCATTTGACATGATGATATGTCAATTAGAAATGTCTGCATCTATAGTTGTTATATATTAAAATTTTACAAAATTGCATATTTATATAGAACTAGATATATGTTTGATTTAATAGAAGATTGATCACCACAACTTTACGAGGTTCCAATTCTTTATATGATGTATATTTATCTAAAAGAAGAAAATATTAGAGCAAGATACTTATACTACTTTTGAATATTATATTCTAAGAAAAACTAATAATTGAACTCAGATAAATTATTCAGTCTGATGAAACCATAGCTGCTTACCAGATAAAAATGATACTAGACCAATTTTACCATTGTGCAGCCTATTTTTCTAAAAATTTCTATTTTTAAAATAAAAAAAGTTAATTCTGGTCAAAATTATGTAGACAATTATGTAATGCAGGCCAAATTTTGTAGATCAGTCAATCAAATTGAGAATTTACTGTGTCTAAGTTGGTGTAGTAGCTAGGTCTTTTGGTGAGGTATGGTGTTGTGTCATTACGGCATTACAGTTACGGTATTACGGCTACGGCATTACAGTTAAGGTATTACGGCTACGGCATTACGGCTACGGCATTACAATTACGGCATTACGGCTACGGCATTACAATTACGGCATTACGGTTACGGCATTTCTGAGTATAATATTTACTGCAATCAAGTACTGTGGCAAAATTAATTCTACCACATGATAGAATGCCATAATGCCGTAATTAAGTAATTCTACACCAACTATAATCACATAGTGACCAGCCAATCAAAATTGCAAAATTTAAAGAATAATATCGATATGAACTCGAACGAAACTTGAATTAAATTTATATTGTAGCTTCAAAATGAACATCTTAGATACTGTAACAAGACAGATATATAAACTGTATATTCATGTATTCAATTATATAATTAACTATTGCCTACTACGTATTATCTGTTGCTTACAAAAGATTCTTTATTTGTTTTCTATATTCGAACCATGTCTAATTTAAAACACAATTTCTCATTTACAATTCAATCGTTATTTTACTAGCATATACAATACATATAGATGTACATTCTAAATAATCTTACTAGCTCAAATCTCAAATATAAAGTACATATTTCTCATAATATTCTGAAAAATTGTAATAAAAAAAAATTAATAAAACATTTATAATAATTAATCAAAATATTGTTAAACATTAATGCTAAACATATAATAAAAATATATTCCAACGCTAAAAATACATACTATAATCTTTTACAAGTCATCGCTTTCGGCTTTTTTATCATTCAGCGAACTGAAACTTGACAATCTAGTGGTTTAACCTTCGCACGATGCATATTTTTATATGTACTTCGTATAAACTTTACTATGTAGGTGAAACGTAATATAAAACTTATTGGATTCAAATGATTATTGAAATATAGTAAGAAAACTTTAAAGCTTGATTAGTATATTTCACAAAGATAGGTTACGCAAACCCCTCAAAAGTTTAAAAAACGAACAAAAATTTTTTTATCAACTGTGGCTGATCGGCATGTGATATCAATTTTTAAGATTTTGGAAGTGACCTGCAATTTATGTAACGAGGATGGAGGTTGTAATTGGGTCATCCGACAAAATCCGGTTGTAAACTAGAATACTGCTGATAAAAATTGTGATTTGTATCAACTAAAATAGTTAATGTATAGATGATACAAACTTAGAGTTAATGAATAAATTGTACGCCAACTGGCGTCCTGCGGTGATCATGCTAAGGGTTTAAAAAAAAAAGTGTTAATAACGATTTCCATGGGAAATCGGAAGACCTGCATCGTTCATCCATTTTTGAATACTGCTTAAAAAAAAGGAATGCATATAAAATGATCACGTAGAATCAGGTGATCCATAAACAATGATAAATCAGTATTTTCAAAATTTCAATTGGAATATATGATCTCTTGTTGACACAATTGAGGCATATTTCGTTCATAAAAATATTTCTTTTGAAAAAAGAAATGACAACTTTTATGTTCAACGATGCCCATCAACTAAAAAATGGCAAGTATTGTTTTTTTAAAAAAATAATTAGTTCAATTTATTATTACAAGTAATTACAATTAATTACAAATGACATACTAAAGAATAATAATGTTCTCTTGTTTAGTCGTTAGCGCTAGCTTTAATGTTAGTGCTAGTGATACTCGTAGCATATTATGCGTAATGACTAATGAAATTCAAGAATTAACCCAAAATGAAAATGATAACCATTATAGCCAAGAAACATACAATCATCAAAAGACTGTCATGATAGAAAACATAGTTGGCAAGTATTTTAAATTATTTTGAATTAAAAGATTTACAATTACGAAAATATTAATATTTAACAATAATTTAATATAGACACAACGGCATTAATTATCAATGTTATTTGGAATAAATTTTTCATGACTCTTAACTCACAAGTTATTTCACTTCGTCCGTTCATTCAAGAAACTTTACGTAGATCACGAATCTCTTGGTACACTCTTCAAATGGCATTATTTTATCTTTTACGAATAAAGCATAAAATAGCAACACTTGAAGTAGAAATCACTGATAACAAAAGTGATCCAGCTGCCTGTGGTCGTCGAATGTTTCTCGCATCTCTTATAATAGCATCGAAATATCTTCAAGAGCGCAATTATGCCAATAGTGCTTGGTCAAAGATATGTGGTTTATCTGTGACGGACATTAATGAAATCGAGAGACGTTTTCTTATTCTTATTGATTATAACCTTTTTATAAAGGATAATATTTTTAATAATTGGACAAATGTTTTGAAATCACATATTTGTCCTTTTTCTGGATTAGAATGAATAATTCGTTGAATATTAAGTGCAGTGTAATGCCAACTTACTTTATTATATTACGAACATTGTTCTTTTAATGCCGTAAAATATGGGTTTTTTATGCACTGTCAACTCCCCTATAAGCACCTCCCATATAAGCACATCACGTTTATAAGCAAATTTATTTTTTGAATTAAGTACTATTAAATATATAAAAATAATTCTCTATATAAGCACATTCTAAGTATGTCTTCTCTATAAGAACACTTTTTATGCATCACAAATAGTGTGAATACGATCGTATAATGTAAGTATTATTTGTTCAAATAAAAATCATATAGCTCTAAGCCACAGAATAAATTCAATATCAAGCATAAAAAAATATACTATTTAATATATGCGTACTTACAATGTTAAATTGACTAGAGCGGATAATACTCATAAACAAAGTGATAAATTTGACAAATTTGTGTAGAGTGAATGTTGATTATTTGTTGATTAGCAAAATATCTAGTTTCTACAAATAGTTTTAGATTTTGTTAAAATACTTGATATCTATTAAAAATACTCCAGAAATAGTTTGTATAATAAAATTTTGTTATTAGCATCTCTTTTTTCGTGTAACTTGTCCATACATGTTTATGTGAGTATATATATTAATAAATCCATCCTTCACTCGACTAATGCCAGAAGCCAGGTACTATACGTACCTTCAATATCAATATCAATGTTGATCTACATATTGCATAAATTGTATAACTATCCTAAAATGTTGTACTACAATAAAATTTGGTTATTTCATTGCAAATCTATGAATATGATACGTACCAATATTTTGGTTACTACTGTTGTCGGGCGAATCGGCGAGTCTGTCGCTAATTCCTTCCAATTCTCGTGTAACCTACGGCGGCTAAGTCGAAATAGGCGTGTTAGAT